CGTAAATGATTCATGATCATTTAATTGCGAGACATATTGTAAGGATCACATAAAATATATATATATATATAAAGGTCAAAACATATACATAACGATTTGTACAATTAAAGTTCTGTTTAATTTGATTTTGGCGCTGTACTAGCCAAAAAAGAAATGATCTTGTTGAACTTCAATAGTATATTCAGTTTAAGATATTATCATAGTTTGAAAATATTAACGTTTTTCTAGCGTATATTCAAGAGCGTTGACACGATCTATTGTTCGTTTATGACATAAATATATTTGCCAATTAGTCATAATTTTTATATGAGAATTTACACTCCATTGATTATTTGAACAAAAAGAAAAGAGCGTATGAGTGACGAAGGTATACGTCGAATGAAGCTGAAGGTAAAGGTGAGGTGAGAGTAGGTTAAGGTGAATGTTTTCATTATACTCTAACCCTTCACCTTCATCTGACACCTACCGTTGCTGCCCGTTTACATATTTCATTTCGCTTAAAGACTCAGTAGAAAGTAAATCCTCATACAAGAAAATGGCTAATCGGAGTATATTTTTAATGTAATCTACGAACAGCAAAATCGTGCACTCAAATCAAGAGTACTCAAATAAATTTGTTTACCAATCTTGTGACGTCTGTTAATCGATTTGCCAATGAAATTATTATGTTCGATATCAACTAAATAATCGTCAACGATGAATTTAGTTGTTACAGCATAGGTTTTATTAACATAAAACGACTGGTAATCTGTACACAAATAAAAATAACAAAAGGAAGGGAGAATAGATACGTCTAGCAATAGCAAAAAACTCTACATATGAAGTAATATAATAACGAGCAATTTAAATGTTCAATTCTATTACGTTCTTTCATATAGTTTATCCTGTTAACTTGTCATATCTTAATTAATTATTCTAGTCATCACAAATGGAACACATACAATGAAGAATAAATGTGGCTTGGTGTAAAAACTAAATTGTTGCACTTACTCGTGATACTAGTACTAATAAGAATAGGTTTTGTGTCTAGTGTTATAGTTATCATAATAGTGATAGTTTTAGAGTCGAAAATCATCAAGAAAAAAAGTGGCTCTTGGGATTCGTAAGATCCATCATACTCTATTAGAAGCAATAATGACTAATAAGGATATTTTGCTTAGACCAAGGGGAAACAAACTGATTTCTTGATTTCCATTACTGAAAATGAGTTTTTGTTTGTTCATCATGAATCAATAAGAATCATAAAAAATGCTTAAAAATGAATGGCAGTCACGAGAAATCATTATAAATCAGAGATTTTCTATGATTCAGAGTGATTTATAATGATTTTGGATAATTTTTAATTACTTCTAGTCATGATTCTTATCCCTAAGGTGTTAAAATGATTTCGGGTAGTTTCTAATTATTTTTAGCATAGAAATCCGTTTGTTCTCCCTCTTTTAAGTTCGAATAAAACCCAATGGAATTCGTCCTGTAGTTTTCATGTGTCATACAAATATAATTTCTGTTTTACCCACATCGATTATCCACCAAGTATCAAATACATTTGTTTGAAGTTAGATACAGTCGGTATATGGTGTCAGAGAACTGGATAGCCTATGAATAATTTTGATCATCATCAATGAAAACAAACATGTCGAAAACCAATGCATGATCACGTCATTTTAACCTTTCGGGAACGAAAAATCATTTTTTAACAAAATTTTCATCTAATTTAAAAAAAAAATAAGGTGATTCAAAATTCTTTGTTTTTTCATTTTCCAATAGCTGGTGATCTTTAGATCCTTCGAGCACAATGCAAGAATATGTAAATAGATAAGAAATGTAGATATATTGAACCATAGAAATAGAACGACATCATTGATACAAATCATACAGAGAAATTTCTAGGAATAACATACAGCAATAAACAGAGCGATCAGTACATTCACAATATTGTCTATTTTATCGATTTACAATACGGTTTAATATTTTTTAAGACAACGATAAAATATTTGTAGTAGCTTATCTTGGATAAGTTTGATTGAACTACAGAACGTCAAGTTCAAAAAAAAATAAACAGAGTTCTTTCCATTGTTTCGCACTTCTCTTCACAACCTTTATTAGAAAAACAATGCTGGAAAACTTTGGATGAGTTATTAGAAACCCACTTAATGCACTTCTTCAATACTGAAGTGTTCTCAACATACCTCTTGAAAACTCGTAAACATCTAATTGAAAATTTCCTTTGTTCTCAGGACTATCTAAACTCATTGAATGATGTACATTCAAAAGCAGCTTTTCATCGACTGAGTCTACTAATGCTAATAAATATTTACTTCAATACCTAATGTATCTATTCACAAGAAATAATTATTCCATTCTCGATAGAAACATATTCGTTAAGGTAATTCATATTTCTTATGTAAATACTATTGAATACTTTAGAAAGTAATCATACGATAATATGAAACATATTTTTTTAATATCTGTTTATTCATTATTTTATTTTTATTGTGAACAGTTTTTTTTTGTTGAAATAGAATATTTCAGAGATAATACATTGTGACATAAATCAGATGAAAAGAAATATGGGATTACTTGTTTTTTCTTATATTGTAAGGCTAAAATGTTAACGTAAATTTCGATAACTTTGTTTCATTGGAAATATTTATATTCGCTTTCACTTCAGTATAAAACTTGTCAACAAAAAAGAAAATACATTTTGAGAATGTGCAAGAATTTTCACTTTTGAAAGAACTGTAAGCATATGTGTATTTAAATACTAAAAGGTCTTCTCTTGCTAAGATCGTGACTGGTGCAGACTGTTGAGAAAATGATTTGTTATTGTCTTCTATTGAAAAATATTCATTTACAGACCTAATAGAAAAGTCAAAGAAGTATATCGAATTAATCTATCAACAAAATAGACTAGTTCGTATTATAAATGATCAATTAAATAGATAGTTTAAATCTCAAATTCATTCGTACTAGTAAATTTCGTCGATTTACATGTAAACATTTCATTAATTTATGGTTATTTTCATATATGTTTTAAATACTATTTAGATTTCTTCTTCTAATCAAATAAAAACTGTCATTGTTTGTCTGAATGGCCTTCAGAGAAAATTAGATAAGTCAAGTCAATAAGACCTAGAAGAACAACTGTCAATCAAGATGAATTGGCAACCGAACACAATGGCCATGGTATTCATTCACTCTTATTGATTTCTATTCTTCTTTGAATGAATTCTATTCTAGATGACAAACATTCATCTTCTTCTGAAAAAAATGAATAGAAAGACAATAACAAAATATTAGTCAGAGTTAGCGTGACTTTGGCAAAAGATATTCACTAGATAAGCCTTTGTAATGGCATACTCATCAATCATTCTTGTACAAATTGTTGATCAATCGTTCTAATATCTTTTTGTAATTGATGATATATATATAACTGAAATGAAATTAATGGAAATCACTTATATGTGTTTTCACCATTGCCAAATAATGTTGAGTGATGAATTCGATATTCTTTGACAATCTACTTATGGTTTTATTTTCACTTCATTTATGTGTTTCAACGAATAATAATCGTTCTTGAACTTAAACTTAGTTGATGATTCATACACGATACAACCAAAGTATTTGCTGATATAAGTTTGTTTCGTAACTTCACTAATGAAGAAGGTATAATGTGAGACATGATCGATTGCCGTGAATTCTAAATTCTCAAGTATTTCGGAACTCAAAAATAAATCGAAAAATGAGTACTTATTAATAAAATAGAAATAAAATTACAGGAACATAACGAAGCCAAGGAACGTTCTCTTTTACTATATTTAAACAAAACATGACAAAAAAAAACGAAACATTTAACTGTGAAAAACAAGCAAAGATGTTTTTCTGTGAGTCGATTCGTGGTTCAAATCATCTCAATTTCTTATTTATGCCTGAAAAAGTTGACACATTCTTTTTAAGATGCGTCATGACACTTCAAAAAGCGCTTCATTACAAATGAAGTTTTCCTGTGATTCAAGTCATCAGACTTTTCTTTGAATTTTTTGTATGTTTCTAAGAAACAAGGTTTCGTATCAATAGAAGTACAGTTCAGGTGGTGTCCTATATTTAAGAATACTGTTTAATAATCATATGATGTAAATTAAACGAATTCCATCGTTGTATCTCTTCCTGATGCAAATCTAACGAGAGAGCGTTCCTATGTATCAAACTGCTTTTGAGTTTGAGTTATTTGCGTTATAATAACTTATTGTAAAAGTTCTCAATCTTTTGATTGTTTCTATTTCAAGATACAACTATGATAAAAGCATGTTTTTCTCATCGTTCAAATACAGCAGTTAATTCTTATGTTTTTATTTAAGGACAGGCGCAATCAAGAAGTCTGACACTTTCACAATTAGCTATTTTCGTGTTAAAGCGCGTCTCTATGCAAAGCTCGAAGTCGAAATTCAAAACTCAGTTTTCCTAATTGTTTCTGAGAGGATCATTATATTCTTCTCAAAATTACAGTATCTTGGCAGCAAAAAGCTATTAGTTCAAATTTTTTTCAGGATACTCATATCCGAGTTGTCGATGCCACCACCACGACTGCGTTAGCATCACTTTTTTAACCACTGTGGCACGAGAGATTTTTCAAAAATACTATTATGACAGCATCTTTTTTAGGAAGATGGTAAAATTGCATGAGTTTGCACCCGATTTTAGTGTCTGCAAGTCCAACAATCAGATTTGTGGTGAACCTGATAGAAAAGATTTTCAAAGAGCTTCTAAAAAATTATCGTGGTAAAGTAATTTGACACTTAGAGATGTTTCATTGAAAGTTGTAGATTTTATTAAAACTCTATATCAAACAAGGTTTTGAGCTTTTATCTTTCTTCCAAGATAGATTGTTTCTCAAAAATGTAAATTGTGTTTATTTTTCTAAGACATTTTCGATAAGCAAATCTTTAAACTGAATTAAACATATTTCTATCAATAGTCTTTGAAAATATTCCACTTAATAATTATATAAAGCATTGAAAAATAATGAAGGAAACTAATATAAAAAATACGATTGAAAACGTAGGTGTCCAATTTATTGAAAATTTCTTTTGTTGATTTTGTTCTTGTTTACGACTAACACGTAATGGATATTCAACTCTATATAATAAAGTGTAAATAAAAATATCAACAAAATAATATTATCTACCTTTCATATTGTGTTAAAATAGCTTGTCGTGCACCTTCCCATTTATTTGGACCTTGTAAACGGTATCGATACGGTGTACATGGTCCAAATAGTAAACGCCAACCAAGTTTAAAATCCTTTATCAAATAATTCACTACAAATGAAAAACAAAAGAAAACTATTGAATAGATTCGATTTATTCATCTTACATATATTTGGTCGACAACCAGCTTGTTCAGCTAATTCATTACAAAAATCTACATGATCAACTTCTAGAGTATGTCGTGGTGATGCAGCATATCGTTGTGACATTTGATGAATTTTCTCATCGATATCTTCATCCATTTTTAAACGTGATGGTAATTTTAATTCACCATTAAATACTCGAACAGCCCAACGTGCTTGAAGTTCTGTCACAGGATTAATAGCACCCCATGGTTGTACAAGACCCATAACAGCAAGTGTTGGATGAGTCATATGAGATGGCCAAACATATTCATAAAGTCGAATCTGTAAAAAAAAAATTCTGATACAAAAAAATTTTCTTAATATTCTTTTTTTTCTTACTCTATTATCTTTGACAGCTAAAATTTTTTCGTCTAAATACGGAAATGCAATATTAAAGCCTGTTGCCATAAGAACACAATCAATACGATCAACTTTAGAATCATCATTGAACATAACACCGTGACCATCAGCTGTAAATTCTTTAACATCAGGTTTAATAATAACAGAACCACATAAGATTCTATTAGCTAAGTCATCGTTTAAAAATGGATGTTGTGCTGTATAAAGAAAAAAACAATATAGATATTCAATAAATATTAAGTTTTAACCTAAAGGAGGATAATTTGGTTTAAGACCATAAATTTCATGATTAAATCTTTGATTCATATCTCTTTCCATAAGCCAATTCATTAATGAAGGAAAATATCTTTGAACTGCACCAAGGACTTCATTTGACAGTAACATATCAATCGGCCATCCACTAGGTCCAACACGATTCATTACCCATGTACCACGACGAGTACTCAAATAGACCTTTTGATTTTTTTTTTGATTATTACTGAATAAAAATGAATAATAATCTAATTATGAATACCTGTTTGGCTACACGACCTAATTCAACAGCTAAATCTCCACCGGAATTACCAATGCCAATAATAAGTACATTTTTATCTTCAAAACCATGCGAAGTCTTATATTGCCAACTATGAATTTTTCGACCTAAAGATATCGATTATGAGAATAATGGATGATCCGAAAATTTCCATTCAAATTATTGCTCTTCATTTCTTCGTTGATTCAAAAAAGAGCAATAGAAGTTTTAAAACTTTGGGTTAGAATTAGAATTTTCTGCTCTTTCAAAATCTCAAGTGAATTGCAAAGTTAAAGACACTTTTTACTTAGGATTTTTCTATCAAAACTAGGGAACCATATAAAGTTAGAGTTAAAGTCTGCAGAAACTATTTATTCTAGATCTGATGAGTTATCATGTGAAGAAGAAAAAGTGATTATATCATCATTGAAAAAAAAAAGACAAGTTTAAAATAAATATCATTAGATGCAGAATTGAACGGGCCACATTTTGGTATAAAATATTTTGAAAAATTACTGATTACTAACTAGAGAAATGTTTTATGATAAATTTTAAACTTGAAATGTTCCTTTAGAAATAGGATTGAAAACCTAATAATGTACAATATGTTCCTCATTAGATATAGCACTTCGAACATATTCAAGTTTATATCAAGCAAAAGATATCTAAAAATCATCGTTGAAATTAGTGATCAAAGATAAGAGAATTGTATTAGATGATGAGCACATTGCACAGAAAAGTGCAAGGTTTCATTTGATAAAGCAGAGTCTACTCTACAAAATTCACTATTATTGCAAGTTCTGAAGTCTATGATTAGAATTCACTTTTCTTATTTATTAGTAGAATATTAATTTAATTTTAATTACTATTGAAAAGACCCTGCTATAACGAGCTATTTCCAAATAGATAGATAGTATTATTCAGATTCTGATGTTTTTTCTAGCATAGATGTGTACTAAGTCAGAGCATTTTGGTATCAGACACATAGTCTGGTAAAAAGTATGTAATTCAATATGTTTTTTTCTCGACGATGCTCTCCACAAATGTACTTTCATTTCCATTCAGCCGAATGACTGATGTATCGTTTTACAACTGTCTTTTTTTACAGAAACACTTTCTTCGCATACGCTTTTCCAACTTATTAATATTTCTTAAAAATAAAGAAATATTCATACAGAAAATATCTAATGCCCATGTTAAAATTCAACATACTTCTGTTGTTGACATATAGAAATCACAGTATTTACAAACAAAATCTTGAACTGCACTTACTTTGAATACACTTATTATTGTATAAGAGTGAATCTCAAATACAAATAACGTAGCATTATTAACACACAACAAAAAATAAATAAATAAAGTATTTATGAGACGACAAAATTGAGAAGATCACTAACAAGAGAGACTCATAGGTTAGAAATTATAGGTAAATTTTTAAATGACTTGAAAATAAAGTCTAGATGAAAGCTTCTAGAAATGATCAAGTTGATTTTCATAAGTCTGAAAATCCAAGTATTACGAAAATGTCACTGTCTTTTTCATATCAAAACTGTCATTGTTAATAGATGTCTTACAAAACAATAACGGTCAACTTAACCATTCTGTAAAATTGCTCCCAATCTATCGGATCTCGCAAAAAAATCCGAATTTTGATTCAAAAAGAACACAAAATCCCGATTCAAACTTGAAGCTTTAGAATATCACCTGCTACTTTTAATCGATTGAAAAATTAAAAAAACACATTGTCTCAAAACTTTCAGACCATCAGCTGCAATACTCTAATCATTATAATACATGCCTTTAAAATTTTCTAATCCATGAAAATTAGCCCATCGTGGATGAGCATGATGTCCAGTTGCTAACATAACAGCATCATATTTTTCACATGTTTCATTACCTATCATTTCTTTATCTTTCTGTTCGACATCAACACTATATACTAACCAACAACCTGTTTGTTCATAATCATCAGCAGGTTGAATACGTGTAACACGTCGACGAAATCGAATATATTTAATAAGATCAAAATGTGTTGCATACATACGAAAATATTCTAATAATTTAGTATTATGCATATAATTTGGATACTCAATTGATGGAGGATAATCACTAAATGCCATAAATTCTTTTGATGTATTAATTACAGTTGATTTCATTACACTTGCTTTACCATCAATTGCATTGGCATCGTAATTCCAGAGACCACCAATATCATTTGTCATTTCATAACTTATAGGCGATAGTCCTCCATCCAAACAACATTTGATACATATTAAACCGCTGACACCACCGCCAATTATAGCTATATTTCGCATTCTAAAGTATATCAATGAATAAAAATTTGTAGAATTAACAAAATAATTTCATTGAAAAGATTTCAATATATACTCAAAATCTATCACTATACACAAAAACGAGAGTCTATTTTTTATTTTTCGTTTAATTGTTTTGTTGTTTTCTTCTTACAATAAAAGAACACATTGATAAATAAAATGTCATGTAAATTACCTTTGTTTTTTGTTTGATGATATGAAATGAAGAAAAAATTGATGTTCTCTTATCCCTAATCGCTGGTGTTTATACCAAATGAAAGGTTTATAGGTGATACATGCTTACACATGACGTTTTTGTTTTTTTACTCGTTCTTATCAATTATTGTATTTACTGTCGATTCTTTTTTTGTTTTTTTTTTGAGTGCAGGAGTGAAACAAAAAGGCAAGATCGCATTCTTTTTTTTTTATTAAGAAAAATTACATTGTCAATTTTTATTATCAGATAAAACAGTTTTTGTGTTCGAAAAAGAGTTAGTTTGTAATTTATTAAGACACATTTGAAGTTGCTCAATAATATCTTTAAGTTTTTTTTCAAGTTCATCATTTGTTGTGTCATTTTGAGTTGTTAGACTTGTATCAAGACGTTGCAATGTTTCTAATCGAGCAAGAAACTCATTGATAAGTTGATAAGTCTGTTCAGTTGTATTGTCATTCGTTGTTTCTAAATAAGACAACGTAAATAAATTATTCTGATTTTAATAAAAGATGATCGGAAAGTTTTTAGCTGACGTTTCTAGTGAACACGCTGATTTATTTTGCCCTGCTTAAAAGCATTTCGGACGAGTCAAAAACTATAGATCGCGATCGGTATTTGAATTGGGGCTCAGAAATGTAGTATTTATTTTTGTAGGACTTTTCAAAGACCCAAAGAATTATTTGACCAATAGATTATTGTTTAACCTACAAGTCCCTTTTCGAACATGCTAAAAATTGTCGGAGTCGGTCGTTCTGTAGAGCGAACACTTCTCTACAAAATGTGATATTTAATTAAGCTGAAACTTTTACTCAAGTATTTATGCAAGAACTCCTTTCGACATAGAACGATTGTTGATTTTTCAAAACGAAATGTTTAAGAAAAACGAAATTGAGGTACCTGGTCGTAAGACAAAGAAAACTTCAAATAGTGCATTTCGTAGTATAGCTGCTGATCTATAAACTGATATAATCAAGATCGCAACGTTTAGTTTTGAATTGCACCAGTGAAAATACAAAAATTTTCCGTTCAAACTAATTTTTAGAACTTTTCAAAGATCATTTCACTACTCTCAAAGAAAATCTCTAATCCCATATTCGAAAATAGCACAAAAATCTGCTCCTAGCTCATAGTTTTTGAAACTTTCTAGTGGGTCAAAAGTGAACAAACATCTTGTCTAAAAATCTTCCCATCACTCTTCATACTCTTCAATGCGATGTCACAACAAGCCTTTTATTGTTATACTCAGAATCAGAATATTTTCAAAAAGATCGTAAGTTTTTTTGATATGCCTATTAGCTTAACTATTTGTTTGTATTGGTTTCAGTTTCCAAGAAAAACGAAAACTGACTCCATCTAAATCTGATACATTTTGCGAAACATGATTTAAAAGGATTATTGACGTATATAAAATAGACTTTGCAACCACTCTCAACTGATCATGACCGATATGATCGACGAACCGTGACTTATATTACCGTGCAAACATCGCACAACGTAATAGACATCTTAGCAACACTCCTCTTCCTACGCGTCACAGACTGTATATCAATAAGGTCTCGTTATTATATATGAATTACTTCCTCATTGCATTTCTGGAGGATGAATTTAAAAAATGATGAAAAACGTTTGTCCGACAATAGACAGAATAAAACAATCTCCTTGTGATTAACAAGAGCAACTATATCGTGCTTTGCGTTTTAATTCCTCAAGGATTGCGCAAACAGCTTTTGTTAACTTGTCTGTAAGTTTCGATTTGGTTTGATTCGAAAAAAAAAACATGGACTAATCCCATCTTTAATATGAGGCTTGTTGTTTCTCATTTGAGAATAAATTTAACAGATACTACAAAATAGCTTTCTGTTCATTGAGAGAAAGAAAATTATTTTCCCTTGTCTTTTCTATTCATTTGAATTCTAGAATTATTAATTATGAATCAATTGTATAACTAAAACCAATACTCGATAGAATCAGCATAAGAACAAAAAAAAAATTATTATCTTTCTATACCGTCTTGCTTAATTTGCTCTGCCAATTGTTCAAATTGAAATGATTTTAAAATCTTCTCATCTGATGACATAATTTCCAAATCTTCCATCATTTGAGAAAAAGTCGGTGAACATGGAAGTTCAAGTGTTTCTTTCCTAGCCATGTAAAATAAACTAAATCTACGGATCAAAACAAATGATCAATATTTAATAACAAAATCTCTTGGGTTTTTTTTTCGAAATCAGTCTTAACAATTTTATTTTCTTAACACAAAAAAAAACATACACATAAGCGCATGTTTTTTCTAAAGAATAAAAATTTATTTATTTTTCTTTTTTTTCTTTTTTGATTTTTGTTTCGACAAATCAAAATGACTTTCGATTTCAACATCTTTTCGTTTGTTTAATGTCCTAAAACCAACAAGAGAAAAATAAAATAAAAGAATTTTTAAATTTTATTTTTAACTAACCGTGGTATTGAAATAACACCTGGGTCAGATATACTTTTTAATTCTACTTTCCAAACTTCTTCACTACCATTAACAGCATATTTCGATAATTGTTGATCATGCATTAATCGATCTAATTCTTCTGATTGACGATTACGAATTGTTGCAGCAACTTCATTCTAAATTTGAGAAAAAACGTTATTAGCACAATCCTCATGGGATTTAAAATGTGAAACACGATTGATCTGCTCTTGCTACTTATAGGGATTTATACTATGTATTTTGGAACGTATTTCTTCTCCATCCTTCTACATAATCCGCTAGAAATGCAATAAAAAAAAATAGGTTACTCATGTGCATGTAGCACCCAAAAAGATCAAATCATGATGTTTCAATCTACAATTTTGTCTATAGATAGATCTAATGATTCTCAGAATATTCTGAAAGTTTTAGCCAAAAAGAATGTTGAACTTACAGGTAGCGTTCAGTGAGACTAGTATTATTGGTAATTCAGTAGTTTGATGAAGAAACATTTTTTTTGGCNAGAAATGCAATAAAAAAAAATAGGTTACTCATGTGCATGTAGCACCCAAAAAGATCAAATCATGATGTTTCAATCTACAATTTTGTCTATAGATAGATCTAATGATTCTCAGAATATTCTGAAAGTTTTAGCCAAAAAGAATGTTTCTTCATCAAACTACTGAATTACCAAGAATACTAGTCTCACTGAAGGCTACCTGTAAGTTCAACATTAGTCCAAACGGTGAGTGTCAGTTGTAGTAGTTCCTTTGTACATGACTGCATTGTTCGACGCGTATTAAACAAGATACTATTTTCAAACCATAGTATCATCAGCTATGACATGATCTTAGACAAGTCACTAACGGATATGTGTTTCAGATCACCTGTATGAGGAGCGCAGAAGTTTTGCGTCAGGCAGATTTATGTTCAGTTGCTACAGTTAGTAATAGTCCTAGGGAAGATATTTGGCTGTAGAATCTGTCGTTAGACAGCATCCCGTACTATAAGGTAGCTGAAAAAATGGTTATTCTTCCTTATAGATTGTGTTTTACAGAATAATTTTAAGAATAAAATAAAAATTTAACAAACCAATTCTTGTCGAAGTGATTTATCTAATGGTTGCATATTGACAGTATCTAATGAATTAACGAATGTTTTTCCAATTTCATTTTCTTGTACTGAATTGATTAACTAAAATACAAAAAAAAACCAAATTAAATAAAATTGTTATTTCAAAAAAAAAACCGTATTTTACATCAATCATTTTTTTAATAAGTTTATTAAATAAAGCTAAAAGTTGTGATTGTGGTAAATTAAGTTCATTTTCAAGTTGTTCAATTGTTTTATATTGAAAACCAATACCAGATAATAATGCCATTTGAACAACAGTTAATTGTATTGGAAGACGATTTAAATAAAATAATTTTGCAAGTGTTGGAATAAGATCAAGAATTAAATGATAATCAACTAAATTTCTTGTATATGATTCTAAACGACGAAGATCATAATCAGTAAAATTTTGTTCAATTAACGAAAACGTAAATTCTATAAATAGATAAACAAAAACAAAACATGAAATAGATTCGTTTTTGAAATTAATTTTTACAAACCTTCTTTTATTTCAGGAAAAACAGCTTGTTGAATTAAATTAAGTACCATGCCTGGTGTAAAAATGCGAAATTGAAAACCAAGTAATGATAGTAATCGACGACGGAAATCTTGATAATAAGAAAATAACCATGGTGCTTGATTGGATTGATGAATTGTTTTAAGCATTATACAGGAATATTCACCTGTAAGTTCAGATGCTGTTTGACGAAGATATATTGGTAAAAATTGATTTTTTTTCCAAAATTTTAATAAATCAGCTGAAAGACCATACGATACACCGAGATAATCAATTGAATGTTTTAAACGACGTTCATTAAGTTTTTCTAATAATGGTGGTAGACCTCGACGTGGATGAAGTTTTTCATTAAGTAATGGTAAATCATCATCATCAATTATTTCAACTTGATCAGGTGCTGGTGATGATGCAGACTAAAATGTAAGTTTAACAATTTATGAATCAATTTAGATTATATTCAAAAATGTTAACACGAAAAAAGATAAATGAAGAAGTTTTTATCGATAAGTTTCGTGAAAAATAAAAATCTATAAGATCATAAATGTATGATGTTTTTATGCAAGTAATAGTTATTTAAAATTCAATGATTTATGAATTTCTTCAATATTTTTTTCTTGATTGAGTTCTCGCAAATCATTGAGCATCTGGTTGAAAATAGAAACAATCTCTGTGGCATGAAAATTTGAAACATTATGTAGCTG